CAAGATCAAGCATGCAATTGTTAAAAGAAATCGCGTCTAAAACCCTCATCATGAACGTTCCCCTCATCATAGCAGCAGGTTGGAACACAGAGGTCGAACAGGTTCGACAGTCAGGCATCGACGAAGGCTTGGGGTAAGTCTTCGCCACTCTTATAAGGGCCCAGTTTCATTTCGGGAAGCGGGTGATCGACTTCCTCCTGGTCTCCCGCTCACCTTAGAGTACGACTTCGAAGGCCCATGGGCTCAACCACATGTGGGCCTCGCAGGTATGCTAATAAGCAGTTCGTGATCCGGCAGATGCAGGCGTTGGCTGCCCCACCCAAGCTGCCCCTCGGGCTCCAGGGGCCTGCCTGGCCCTGGGAGGCGTCCGTCCGACAAACCTAGGACCTTACCGATCAGGGCCCAGGAGCCAACTACCACACTGCAGAAGCCAATCGATCATCATCCCTCACCAAGAACTGGAACTGGAAGTGGAACTGGAACTGGAGCGGCGTGCGCAGAGGCGCGCCCTGTGCGGGCGGCCGCGGGACTTCTCGCATCATCGCACGCGCCTTCTCGCATTCTTGAACCCGCCTTCTCGCATTCTCGCAAGCGCCTTCTCGCAGCCTCGCATACCACCACGTTCTCTCATTCTCACATTCTAATCAGCCCATCTTCTGAATGGTCTCCAACAGATCCCTCACCAAGCAGCATGCTGTTTGTTCATCGGCTGAAGAGGCGCTGCACCATCGAGGGGCCCAGTGGCCCGAGCAGCGCAACACCATCGAGGGGGGAGCGCCGCAGCGCAGCTGCAAGCCGGCAGCGCGGCCAGGACCTCCATCGCGAGCTGGCAGTACCGAGGAGTTCGCTTTTTGGAAGGCGGTCGCTGCACGCTCTCAAGACCTAGTGCATTCCCTCGTGGTGTTGACCACCAGGATAAGGCTTCATATCGGGACCCTCATGAGAATCCCATCGAAGGTTGAAGGAGGACGCGTGGAGGAAGCTCTGGTCAGACCCCCAAGGGCCGGGACACCCAGCTGCCCAAAAGTGGTGGCCACAGTTTCAACGAGAGGCTCGGGAGCAAGCTGAAGACCTTCCTTCCACCGAGCCTCAGCGTCCCCCTGCAGTCTGCCGTGAGTTCCCCTCCCACATGGGGAAAGGACCCCGCCACTTGCACCCGCAGCTGTGGGCCGATCTCGCAGCAGACGTGCGACAGGCCCTCCTCGACCTCCTCACCGAGAGCGAGCGCGAGTGCAGGTGGCCAGAGAAAGTTTTCTTGAATGAGGCGGGCATGCATCCAAAACCGTCGGGGGAAGAAGACAGGCCGATCACCAGAGCCCAGAGCCTGTATCGAGTATGGTCCAGGGTCTGCAAGAAACCCATCACCAACTGGGAAAGGACCCGCGCGGGCCTGGAATGCAGCCATGAAGGGATCTGGCCCTTTGCGTGCCGGGCCTCTCCGCCTCACTGAAGCCGAAGCAGCCTCATGGATCGATTGCGACTGGGCAGGCCTGTTGCCAGATGCCGGAAAGTTGTTCGACACGCTCAGCCCGACATGGACGTATAAAATGGCGAAGGGACTCGAAGATTCCTCTCATACGATGTGTATGGGGATAGCAATGCACAGTGCGGGCCAAGTACCCACCATAGGGACAGAAGAATCCAGCGCTGTGGGCCACTTTTATGTTGCAGAGCTGTGTCCAGCTTGCGGCCTGGACCAGGGCGTAACCCTGTGACAGATTGGTATCCAGTCGCAACAGCTTTCGCCCCGTCGAGCTCAGCACGTCAGGTTCGTGTCGTGCCGACTTCGGCGTTGGTTTCTGACACCGCGGGGATCGGTCAACCTTGACAGATCGGCCGTTTCCGAAACGTCCAAATCGTTCCACGTCGAACGATGCTGGGTCGCCCGAGGCGTTCAATGTTGAACACCGCTGGCGGGGTCGCCGCCAGTCGACACGACACGAACCTACCGCACATGGGTCGACGGCATCAGCATACAGGTCCGGGGGCCACAACGGTTCACCGTCGGCGTCGCCCAAGGACTTGGGATTCAGGCGCACGATCCGCGAGAACCGCACCGAGGAGCGCTGCGTTCGCGATCCGCGCGGGCCAGTCTGCCGTGCGATCGCGAGGAATTTGAAGCTCGCGGCCAAGTCACAGTTGCTCGCCAACTCGGGCCCTCTGCCCCGCCAAATCCACCAGGGTCCAGCTCGAGCTGGCATTCGGGCGCAGGCAGCCACGAAGGCACGAGACCCTGGGCGGGATTTTTCCCCCCAGGGGAGGTCCACCACGGCCACTTCTGCCAGACGGCAAAACCACTGGAGGCCGCTGAACGTGTTGGAGGACTCATCCTCCTCCTCCTCCTCCTCCTCCTCTTCCTCCTCCTCCTCCTCCTCCTCCTCCTCCTCCTCCTCCTCCTCCCCCTCCTCGTGGGTCCTCCCTGCTCCTCCTCCTCCTCATCCTCCTCCACCTCCTCCTTCTCCTCCTCCCGCTTGAGTGGTACTGGTTAGTCCCCGGAAACGTTCAGCGCCAGAATGAAGAAGGCTAGAGTCGGTGCTGAACGTGTTCGGGGACTCATCAATACCGACAAGAAAGCAACCAAACCCAGTCCCACGGGTGCCAAACCTCAGGCTGCATGGGGCATTGCTGGACCGGCTGTCTCACCATCGATTCTGAAGAAGCTAATCTACCATGGCGGCCCTCACAGGACCACACAAAGCTGGAAGGGTGCTACCGTTGCGTTAAGGATGGGCCCAGGGAAAAAAAGGGGGACCTCCTGTACGTCGACAGGATGGACATCCTCAAAGCCTGGTCCGGCATCCTCCCCAAGCTCATGGGGGAAAGAGTTGCACTGAAAGCTGCCCGGAAACGTGCCTGTCCCTCACTTCAAAGTGCACTCAGCCCCTGGAACAAGGTCAGAGGTCCTATAGGAGCAGCCATCACCACACTCATGCAGGCCAACTGGGACCCCAATGTACCGTGAGCATGGGCAGACTACTCTGGGGGGGGGCGTCTTCCACCTTCTCCCAGGTGAGGCTCATCCCGATAGGGTTCCTTTCTACCTTGAGACCCTCTCTGTGTCACCAGATGGCTGGCAAGTCCTGTCGGAGCTAGGGGCCACCTTCGAGCTTCGCATCTGGCAGGACCGAACGTCGCGGCATGTTTGTGGAAAAGAGTTGGGGGGATGGAGAAGACTTTACCGTGATGGGGAAAATATACCGAACTCTGCGCAGGGAGAATCGGGCGGGTCACGCCACGCTTTTGGAGCTTGTTGCGACTGGGGCCCTGTGGCCTGGGACACGCCGCTTTCCTGACGACGAGCCCGACATAAAAAAGCGTTCTAAGTGTGGCATGCCTAGGACCCTCTTTCATCGCGTGCGGGGATGATCACCTCCAGACAGGTCCAGGTCCAGGCGCTCATAACAAACTGGGTGGACAGGCCGCTGCAGAACACGAACAGCGGCCGTGCCCCTGGCTAAGCGGACTTCCCACACCCCCTTGGGGAGATGAAGTATGCGACCAGTGGTCCGACTTCAGCTTCCGCAACGACGGGGTCATCCAGGAAGAAATGAACTACCCATTCCCCATGCTGCAGTTGTAGGTCCCGATGGAAGTGGAAGAAAAGACTCCTCGGACATCGGGTGTAGAAGGTGCTGATAGGGGATTCTCGGTGGACCTTGGGGGCCAGACCCTTGGGCAGGCCTGGGGCCCCCTTGTGGGCCAGCGCCAGACCGTCCCCTTGGCCGAGCTCGAAGCCATCACCCAAACCCAGGCTCGACATCGACGCTCAGTATGTTACAGGTGAGATCTCACAGGGGCCCACGCAATGCTGGCCCCAGTCACCCTGCCGCGTGGCTTCGTCTTGGGGCTACCGTCCGAGGTCGGGACCTGGAGCCCGCTTTCCGAAAAATGACGCGAAGGTCGGAAGAAGTGGGTGGAACCATGGCACAGGAAAGAGTTACACAAGCAGATTGGGCTGCCGCCCGCCCCGTGAGGAGGAAGGCAAGTGAGAAAAAAAACACTCGATGATTGAAGTAGGAAGGCGCCTCCAAAGTACGCTAGGATCTGGGAACCCAGACATGCCTGATTTCAACGATCCACGGGTAAGCCACACCTACCTCATGCGGACATAGGTAGGCCTGTCAATGAAGACGAGTTGGCCGCGAACGAGGGAGCAGACCAGGCTGCTGACCTCTGTACAAAGGTCGCCGCTACCCCCGCGGAATACAAGATCGAGCTAGCTGGGCTCGACACTCTCGCGCTCAAAGTTTGCGAGCACTTGCTCACGGTAGGGCTTGTGGAGGTCAAATCAGAGCCGAGGCGGCCCTTGGAGCTAGGGCCAAGAATCCCGCTGAGCGCACGGCAGCCATCCGAGCGCGCCGCCAGGAGACGAAGGCTGTTGCCCCAGCCACCAAGCTCTCATCCGCCCACATCCCCCACCCGTCGGGGAGGCGCCCTGACGTGTTTCGTCTGTCTTTCCTCTCCCACTCGGGCCTTGCCAAAGCTCGAGTGGCTCCGTTCACATTGTAAAGTGCATCCGTGGCAAACTCATGTGTCGCACCATCTCCGCAACACTCGCGTGCGATGGTGGTGCACTGCTGCTGGAGGGTCAGGTTCTAACAAGTTCCTGGCCCTGAGTGGGCCCTAACGGGCCCACACGTGCACGCAAGGCGGCAGTCGCCCGCATTGTCAAGGATGAGCTCCCCCTTGAGCAGGCCTCCTGGCCGGATGCGAGCAGAGGGTTGTGGGCCGTCGTTCTTTCTTTGGGGCCACTTCGCCAATGGAGGAACCCGCCCCCCTACGAGCGCACCAGCAGGAAGAGGAGGAGGAGGAAGAGCAGCAAAAGGCGAAGGAGGGGAACTGAGAGAAGAAGAGAAGGAAGAGCAGCGGGAGGAGGAGGAGGAGGAGGAGGAGGAGGAGGAGGAGGAGGAGGAGGAGGAGGGGGGGAACCGAGAGGAAAAGAAGGAAGATATGAAGGAGGAGGAGGAGAACCAGGAGGAGGGCGACGAACGGGGGGGGACCGCAAGGCCACGCTCCCGCGCGCGCGCGAGTGCGCCGAGCGCCGCGGAGCGCTCGCCGCCCTCGCAGGCCGCGACGAGGGCGCGCTGGAAGTAGCGCTCCTCCTCGTGGCGGACGACGACGACGACGACGACGACGACGACGACGACGACGACGGCGACGGCGACGGCGACGGCGACGGCGACGGCGACGGCGACGGCGACGGCGACGGCGACGACCACGACGACGGCGACGGCGACGGCGACGGTGACGGCGACGGCGACGACGGTCGAGGGGAGAGCAGTGAGGAGGAGGAGGAGGAGGAGGAGGAGGAGGAGGAGGAGGAGGAGGAGGAGGGAGAGGAGAAAGAGAAGGAGGAGGAGTAGGAGGAAGGAGGAAGGAAGAGGAGAAGGAGGAAGCTGGAACAGGGAGCAGAGAAGAAGGAGAAGCGAGGAAGGGAGCAGGCTGTTGCAGGCCACTGCCACCCCGTCACTTCTGAGCAAACCTGTATGGTTCCCTCCTGCTGCACCTGGGCGCAAGCCTCACCCGCAGTAGGTTTCAGGTCGCGCTGGCTGGATGTGTTAAAGCCGCTGGTCAGTGCCACCCCACCGCTGCCGAGCAGAACTGCGCGGCGCACTCCTGCTGCGACTCGGGCGCACAACTTTCCCGCACTCGGCAGCGGCAGGCCGCAACGGCCCCCAACCGCGCAGACCAGAGCAGGGCCGGCTACACTGGGCGAATGTGAGGCAGAGCGGGCAGCAGTACCAGGGCCACTAATACCGAAGCCAGCATCACCAGGGTCGCGTACCCGCCAGGGCGGGAAGCACGAAGAAAGACAACACTGAAGCCAAAGGTGCGAACAGACAAAACGGCCAGTAACACGGCCATCAGCAACATGGTTGGGGGTGCCGTCTGCACCAGGGCCGCCAGTACTGGGCTGGCAGTACCAGGGCCAGCAGTAAGAGGGCCAGCAGTAGCCAAGCCAGCAGTGCCGAAGACAGCAGCGCTGGTGTGCCCAGCCTACTGACGCCAGGGCCAGCAGCTTCCAGGCAAGCAGCACAGTGGCTGGCAATGGCAGGGCTGGCTGCACGCAGCAAAGCTGGCCGTGCCAAGTACAGCAGCACCAGGGACACTCTCGCAGCACCAACGCCAGCAGTGCCAGCGCCGAAAACACAGGACCAGCATCGGCACCGCCAGAGCCGGCAGCACCAGGGCCTGCAGGAACCGGCCCAGCACAGCGCGGGGGGAGGGACCGCCGCAGTCACAAAGCCAGCAGGACGAGGGCGGGCAGCACCAAGGCCAGCAGTGCAAAACTGGCTGCACTGGGGCGCGCAGTGCCAGGGCCTGCAATGCCAACTGCAAGTCTGGCAGTGGGGCTGGCAGGGTGGCAGGTCACAAAGAGGGGACGCCAGTGGAAGGGGAGGGGTAGCAAAACCGTCAACACGAGGACGGGCAGTCCAACACCGGCAAAACGAAAGCACCGCCGTCGCCCAAGTACTTGAATACACTTCGGATGCCAATCTTCACGAACATCCGCATCCGCATCCATGTCCGCAGCAATAGGTAAGCATATCCCAAACCCCTTAACCAAGGACAAATCCAACTCCAGGTCCATCCCCGTAACAACGAGCCCAGAGACACTCCCATAGCCACAACCACATATGCACGCGCTTGAGTATACAGTGTTCGACGTCGGCGGCGTTCGGGGAGACGACGGCGGCGAGCGCCCAGCCGAAGCACGTGTGCTACCCCAAGACGCCGACCACAACATCCTCAAGAGTAGGCACAGACAACAAGAGATCTGATGTAAAAGCCTTGAGGCACATTCTTCATCGGTCTTTGAGGGTCCGAAGGTGCCCCAAGGACCCAGACACAAGGCTCGGAGGCCCCAGGTCGGGCCCCCTTCCCCGGGACCAGCTCTTCGCTTTTATCAACAAGGAAAAAAAACCTACCGTCGGGGATCTGGGACGACGACGACCACCACCACCACCACCACGGCGACGACGACGATAACGACGACGACGACGACGACGACGCATACGACGACGACCACGACGACGACCACGACCACAACCATGACCACGACCGCGACCACGACCACCGCCACGACGACGCCGCCACCACCGCCGCAGCCGCCGACGACGACAACGACAAAGGCGATGACGAAGACGACGACAAAGACGACGACACAGACGACGGCTGCGGCGGCGGCGGCGGCGGAGACGACGACGGCGCCGCCGACGACGACGACAAGTGGCAGCCAGCCAGCAGGCTGCCCCCGCCCGAAGGCAGTCCAGCAGCCCCCGCGCTGGCGCGTTGCCGGGCTCGGCGGGCGGCGCGCGGGCGGCGGCGGCCGCCCACGGCCCGGCTGTTTCCCCGGGCGGGCGGCGCCGCCATGCCCTGGCGGGCACGCGGCCGTTCCGCGCGACCTTGCGCGGAGCTGCGGGGGGCCACTGGCAGGGCGAGGGGGGACACGAGCCCCCAGAGATCCGACTCTCCCAAAAAATTGGCACGGCGGGGTTTGGACCGTCTTCGGCCTCCGGGGGCCCTCGCTGGGCCTCGGGAGCGTCAAAAACAACTCGGAACGAAAAACCAGTCTTGGGGAAGTGGTCCAGGCCTCCGCGGCCCACGCATCAAAGAAATTGGAGCAGCGGGATGTCTGGGTCGGCTACACGCCAGAGCGACCCTGGGTAAGAGTGACTTCTGGTGCGCGGCTTCTTGGGGGCCGCAGGGGAGGCCAACACAAGAAAACACGCGAGACGCAACTATCGCGTCGCGTGCCTCGATCGGGGGACCCCAGCGGGCCCGCACCAAAAGCTACTCTGGCGCAGGAGCAAAACACTCTTACGCGCAGTCGAACGAGAGCCTCCAGACATCCCCGGGTCGTGAAAAATCACGAGGACGGGTTTGTCGCCATTTCTGGCCTCCTGGGCCCTTCGCCGGGCCCCTCCAGGGTCGTCCGCCGGGCCCCGGGGGCGGTAAAGGAACGACTCGGGAGGAAAAGCAGGTCAACGGGGAGGGGTCCGGACCTCTGGGGAGGCACGCGGTGACAAAATCACGACGTCGGATGCCTGGGCCTCCGCACGGCGCGAGGAGGTGGGGGTGGGGGCACGCGCCCGGCCTGCGCCTCCCTGCCACGGAGAGCCCGACGTCCGGTCGCCGCGATCGAAACACGACATTCTCGCCCCACTTCGGGCCCAAGGGACCCTCAAGGATCGACGCGGCCGGTGCGTGGCGACTATACCATGGGATCGCTAGCCGAACCCCATCGTCAGCCTCCATCTCGTATTCAGCGCTTCCAGTGTCACACCTTCCACGCTTTCACTCGAAGTGGTCATGCTGTCGCATCGCGCATGCCGCCCACGACAAATCCGGCAAAGACGCCGTCCGGCTCGAGCGCATGCCGCCCCTCGCCCATGCCGGCACACACCTCACGCGCCTCGCGCTTCCATAGGGATCTCCACATGCAACCCCAGCGGGCTCGCGCGTTTGCCGACCCACACCTATGTCGGCACACCCCCAGCACCTGCCCCTTCTGCCCCCCTCCCTTCCGTCCTTCCCCCCCCCTCCCCTCATCCCCCACACCGCTCCCCCACACAGACATCCGGCTGCTCCAATTTGTTCGATGCGTGGACCTCGGAGGTCGGGACCACTTCCCAAGGACCGGCTTTTCGCCCCGAGTCGTTTCTGACGCTCGCGAGGCCCTGCGAGGGCCCCCGTAGGCCGAAAACGGCACAAACCCCGCCGCTCCAACTTTTGTTGAAGCGCCGGACCGCTGGGCACCTCTCTTCCCTCCTCCCCCCTCGCCTGAGGGGCAACGATAGGGGGGGACTGACATAGGAGGGGGATGCATCGACCTGGAATCGGCGATACATCGCCGATCGATCGGCGATAGGACCCCGATAGTGCATGCGCACGTTCCTGGGCAGGTGGGGGGCATATCGGGTCCCTCTCGGCGATCAAGGGGCGATTGGGGATCGATGCAACCCCCCCCCTTTCCCTACCCCCCCCCGCCGGGAAAGACACCGCGGGCGTCTTGGCCGCCCCCCCGGCCCACCGCCGCGAGGCGCGGCCGGGACGCCATGGGCGCCCGACATCCTGGGCGCCAGCCCCGTCCCGAGGCTGAAGTCGGGCATGTCCCTCTACAGGAGAAATATTCAAGAAGAGAAAAAAATAGTCTGGGTACGATTCTTCGGCCATTTTTGACTATTTTTGAACATTTTGTGGCTACTTTGCAGTTGTCGCCCAAAATCCGCCTGTAGGAAGACATGCCCGACCAAAACCCGAGGCGCCCCCCGGCCGCGCCCACCGGCCGCGCCCCACCCCGCGCGCCCGCCGGGAGCGCAGAGTCCCCGCGGTGACCCCCTCGGCCCAAGGGTTGCTGCGGGCGCCCCGGCGGGCCTGGGGCGCACACGGCACGAGACTTCCAAGAAGGCATCGGGAAAAGTCAGGACGATACGGGTTGTGTAGCCGCTCTCGGCATCCATGGCCACCCCCAGCGGCCCGCGGGACTGTCAAAAAACGGCTCAGGACGCAGAGCCGGCCCGGGGCAAAAGGTCGGGACTTCCAGGGGGCCTGTCTTGACAAAAAAACTGATTTGTTTCTCCCGCCGAAAGCAGAATCACAAGCGCAGCCTGCAATGTCACACGTGACACACATGTATTAAGCATAGGGCGAAGGGGACTGCGAAAGAAAAGATCAGAGGCCCAACTGACTCAAAAAATCTCTGGGTTGTCCTCCGCCACCAGCGCCGCGCCGCATGCCATGGCCAGGCCCGCAAGAGCCCGCGGGGCACACGCACGGCAACCCGATTGCACGACCTGCGCCGAAGCGCGCGCTCGGGGACGCCGCGCGGTCCCGAGTGCGGAGCAAGGAGAAGAGAGCGGCAGTCGGAAGCGCAGGCGCACACGCTGACGCACGCACACCCGTTCCCCCAACGCAGAAATGGGAAGGCGATCGCGGCTTCATCTGAAGCGGGATGCGCTAAAGAGGACAATTGAGCCAGGACATGTTGTTCCAGGCGGCGTGCCAAACTGGACAGAGGAGAGCCCACTGGAGCCAGGCTAAAAAAGAAAGCGCAGAACAACCGCAACCAACACACACAGGCACTGATGCAGACACAGAC